TTAGCACATAAGTGAATGTAATGGATTCGACTGGAATTCAAACTCAGCTCTCTGATTCCTCAATCTGGGCTGCTATCCATTAACCTAAAAAAAAAAAAAGTTTAAAATGCATTTAAAAAAATGAAAAAGCTTTCTTGAAGTTTTAATTCAAAGTTAATAGATTAAATTTAATATTCCCAATAAGCAAAATAATTTGATGTATTTCAAACCAGATTTAAAATTGATTGGAATATTTTCTCCTTATCAGTAAAATTTGTTCATACTGCCAAATTTGTCTTTTATAAAAGAAAATATACTTTTCTAAAATGTTATTTGAAAAGAAATTAGTTGATTTTTTTTAAGTCTACTGTATCTGAATTGAAACAAATATTACTTTTAGTTTAAAATATCGCAGAACATGGAGGGGGGTGTTTTTAGGACATATTTAGTGATTCATTAACAACCTGATGTTTAGTAAATTTAAGTAAGAGTGGGGGAGTCATTTAATTGTATTGAACTTTCCACTTAGGATTAGATTAGTAAATACAGTTTTAATTTAATAACCATATCACTTGATTATTACAAATTAATACTGAATTTTAAAAGTTTTATAAATTTTAATAATAAAATTTTTTAAAAAATTGAAAATATTTGTAAAAATACATTATCCACAAAAAAATTGTTTCTTAAGACAATCATGTGAGTAATATATTTTACTAGCAGTAGAGCCCAGCGTTGCCCGGGGATGTAACAGTAAGAAATAGATCAAGTATCGACCATCATAAAGACTGAAAAATAAAATTGACAAAGATTATTGTTTAAGGTTGACGGACACGCATGTCTTAATTAGTTTTTTTTTTTTTTTTTTTTTTATGAATTGATCAAATCCAAACTCAAACAAAAACATTGTTTTCAATCATTATGAGTCTACCGATTGAATAGAATTTTATTTTATTATAAACAATTGTCTTGTAAATGGAATTTTTAAAGCATTCTGAATGTAAAAATAAAGAAAAATGTGTGCAAGACTATAAGAAACACTACATGCCAAAAAAAAGTGAAGTTTTGTTGAAATCGTTTGAAAAATGTAGGAAATCCGATCCAATATATGAACGAAACACACACACAATCTGGGTTTTATAATAAGTATGATTCATAAAAGCAATTAAAAACTTACTTCTTTTGCATTTTTTATTTTGTAATTTAGAGTAGTCTTTCTGTAACTGGGTATCCTGTTTGATCAAAAAAAATTGATGATTTAAATTCTCTGTGGATTTGTCCATAAAACAAATATAAACACTGAGCGATACTAAAAAGAACTTCTCAAATTTCTTTGGATAACATGTAAAAAAAAAAAAATGTATATTTTTTTCAAAGGTTTTCTAAAAAAGAAGCATTTCAAAAATAATTTAATTCATTTGCAAATGAGTTCAGAAAGTTTCATTAAAATCCGACGATTGTCTGATTTTTGCAAGAATTTCCAAATGAATGTGTTTTTCAAAAAAAATAAAAATAAAAAACTGAAATTTCAAGTCCAGTGTTGATGCAAAAAAAAATATTTTTAACCAAAGTTTCACTTCATGGGTAAGACGACAGACTACATCCGTGTCCTGGGTAAGACGACAGACTACATCCAACAGCAAGGCCTCTGATCAGGAGGTTTTGAGGAGCGTGGAACCACCTCTTTTTAATAAATGAATCAAACACATTTACAGTTTTGGTTCACCACTGCTCAAGGACACATGGCTCGGGGGATAAAGACATTGGCTAGATCCTGTGACTAACCCGAAAATTGTGAGTTCAGTACCAGACCATAGCAGTGGTGATCCAAACTTGGAGAGTTGAGTTAAAGGGAAATAACCGAGACATCCAGAAGAGGCATGGCACGTGGAACTAGAACAATCTACCTCGATGGACAAAATAAAGGGTTTGGTTCAAAATTCCAATCATCTGAAGAATTCCGAAGCATACAACAGCTGAAATGTGGGGATATCAGTCCGAATAATGTAAATAATGCAAGTAACTCTTTTCAAACAAGCAGTACCCACCCAGGTGGAGTTCGTAAAAATAAAAAAAAAACATATTCAAGTGCCACCTATCAGCACACCAATCCCATTCTGGCCAAATGTTATTTCACACTGATATCTGTATTTGAAAATAGATTAATTTTACTTTATCAGTTATCAACATGATTTTGCATTTCCTTCTTTCAATGTTTGGTCCAGGGTTCGTACCCTTGTGAAGCTAGAATTGAATTTGCCAAACCATGTTTTAATTTTGTTTATTTAAATTTTAGCCCTCAAACTCCATTTTTACATTTCTGCTTGTACAAACATTGATTTTAGGGTTGTTACCGTGTTACAATATGAATGGCAAATAAATTGTAGAATAGCAGGTGAAAATTGATAAGACGTCAGAAGCAGACAATCACAAATAGCCTGAAATTGGTTTTAAATTCTGAAATCATGTCTTTTTTATTAATTTGTTACTTTTTCCTCCAACCTTCTTTTATCAAATCCAACAGTTTTTTTTATTGTTTGCTATCTACATATATAAAACAAGATGTCTGTGTGATTTCTTTTCTCTCAAGATCCATCCAACCGATTTTGACTAAACTTGGCATATACTTTGTACAATGTAAGAGATAGGTTCTTAGCATAAAAAAATTGATAAAGCCGATCAAAAATCAATAAATTCAAGTTTTTTTCCTCTAATTTTGTTCAAATTCGGTTAGGTTACTTACAACATGACGAGCTCAACGATACCTCATCTTTATTTCTACGCCACTGCGTTTAGCAAAAAACCATGAAAAACGAAAAATTGATTCCAACAAATCGATTTAAACAAATTTTAAACTAAAAACTCCCTCAATTTTCAAGCAATCTAATACAAACTTCACTTAGTTGTAACCAACAATAAGTTGATTGTTTAACAGCCATTTAACTTGATAATTGAGTTCACCCATGTAATAGAAACCTGCGTAAATAGCAAAAAATGGTGACATTTACTGGTTTCTTTCTTCTTTTTTGTTGGTCTTTCAATCAATTTTCATGAAACTTAACAATTTCTTTATAAATGTGTCTTCTTTTACATCCCTGGTAGCACACTGACAAATTGAATTTCAAAAACTCCAAAATAATTGTGGTCTGAAGTGGGTCTTCATGTTGTCTGTTTTACTTCATGTCCTCAGCTAACTTCGATTGAATAAATACAGACTACTTCTGTTATATCAGTAACTGCATTAATTCAAAATGTCTTTTAATAAAAGTACTTTTAAAGTAATTGAAGAAGATAGGCTCTGTTACATCTAAACATGATGCTGTTTTTGCTCCATTCTAATTGAACGCCTTTTCTGAATGACTGGCTGGGTAGGGCTGCTAGTATTTTTTAAATTTATCTGCAACTATTTTTTAATTTAATTTCTGTTGGAAGAATATGTTGCATAAAATTTTATATATCAGAACAATCTTAGGCAAATGAATGACAAAGTGGGAAAATTCCGTGTAAAGCGTTTCGTCCTCTAGAAGGACTTCGTCAGTAATACTTTTATTGATGGAATTATGTGTGAGAGGAGGAGATCTAAATGTGAGTTTTGCTTATAATTATGTACTGGGGTGGAGGTAGAAACTCTGAAGATGTGGAGATGATGAATTCATCAATTTTGAATTTTAAATTTTGATCAGACAAGTTGAAATCTGCTGCATAGTTGCTCTCCTCCAATTTCCCTATTCTTTTTGTTTTTTTTTTTTTTTTCAAATGGGTCTACACATGCAGTCTAGCCAATCTCATTAAATTTCCCTATTATATTTTTTTAACACTTTTATTATTAAGTATCCTACATTTTGATAGCAGAAGATCTGCCAAGAAAGGGAAAATATTGTGCAATCAATGCACTTTCTATACACTTTTACCTTTCTTTTTTTTCTTTTTCTTTAATATAAATTAAAGTAGCATTTTTATATCAGAATTATGGTCAGACTGATTATGGCAAGTGACTAATGCATTGAGTATGTTTTGTAAAAGATTTCTTTTGTTTGGTTTGTTTTATGATATATCAACCACAATGGTTTATTTAATGCTGACAAGATTTTTATTACTGGTAATAATTTTTTCAAAAATGTATTGCTGCTAATATATTTTTTTTCAAAAAATATATTGCTGCTAATATTTTTTTCCTTCAAAAATGTATTACTGCTAATATTTTTTTTCAAAGAATCTATTGCTGCTAATATTTTTTTTCAAAAAATCTATTGCTGCTAATATTTTTTTTCAAAAAATCTATTGCTGCTAATATTTTTTTTTCAAAAAAATGTATTGCTGGTAAAAAAAATTTTACAAAAATCTATTGCTGTTAATATTTTTTTTCCTTAAAAAATGTATTGCTGGTAATATTTTTTTACAAAAATATATTGCTGGTATTAAAACCAATTTTGCACTTTCACAGTGTTTTGATCCCAGTTTAGGGGTGAGGTCAACTATTTGCCCATAGATGGGACGATAACAGGTGCTACTACCCTGGGTCAGGGTGGACCTGGGAACACTAGCAATTAAGAGATACTTCCATGCTCCTCAAAACCTCCTGATCAAAGGCCTTGCTGTTGGATGTAGTTCATCATCTTACCCAGGATGTGGGTGTAGTTTATCGTCATATCCAGGGCGGGTTTCTTTTGTGTTCATATTATCTATTATTCTTTGATAAATTCCTTGATGTTTCACTTATGTAGTCTTTGTGACCGACATTACAGGTAATAGAGTAAATTCCTGTTTCAGGTTGTTATTTAATAGTTAGTCTGTTATTGTTTTAGAAGTAGTTGTAACAAATTTGTCACAATCATAAAAAGCTTAGACATATTCTTTTCAGTTATAATTGTGATAGATTTGAGAGGTAGTTTTAATGTTTCTTGTTTCATTAAGTTTTGTTATTGTTCATTCTTTTATTTTTTAAAAATTGATGTGCTTTCTGTTTCAGTTATTTTTTTGTAACTGCATTTTTTCTTTTTATTTCTCTATTTTAGCCGACCATGGATGAATTAAATTCTACTTTTGCCTCTTCCTTCCAAGTGACATTTGAGCCGAACACGACAGCTGCCCCTCATCCTCGATTTAACCAGTACAAATGCCAAAAAAAGATCCTTGATCAGAATGAACGGCGACGAAGAATTCTTCTCCTGCAAAAAGAGTAAGGGTTTCATTTCTTTAAATTTTAGGAGACAGGGACCTTAAATATTGGAAGTTACTTTATCAGATCCCTTTTCCTCAGCCTGTGAATGTTCTTTTTTGGATGTAAACCTTTCATGGGATGGTATGGGCCATTACTGCACTGAGCCAATTCATGTTGGTTGGCTGATGTGACGTGCTTGGGCGATCATGTCTCTTTTCGATTCATCATTGTGAATATAACGAATTTAATTGGAATTGAAGCTTAATTCTCAAATTTCTTTTCACCTGTGCATCTAAACTCACAACACCTGCAATTTCCAAGCAGTCACCCATCTACTGACCAAGCTCGATGTTGCTTAACTTTGGTGATTGGATAGGAACTGCTGTTTCAACATATGGCCTTAAGCTTCAAATCCCTACTAAAAGTTAAAATGTTTTTTTTTCAGAAGTTCTCTCTGCATATGAGTGTCATATCTTCTGTGAGTGAACTTGTTGCATCTTTCTCCACATATGCTAGACCACAAAAATCTCCTGAGCTGACCAAGCATAGAAATGAATACAATATGGGAACCAGTGATAGGAAGTGCTAGAGGAAAGCAATGAATAACAACTAAAATTTGCAATATAAGCTCTGGTAAAAAAATGAATAATAATATTAAAAAATTGCAATATTAGCTCTGGTAAAAAAATGAATAATAATATTAAAAAATTGCAATATTAGCTCTGGTAAAAAAATTAATAATAATATTAAAAAATTGCAATATTAGCTCTGGTAAAAAAAATGCAATAATAATATTAAAAAATTGCAATATTAGCTCTGGTAAAAAAATGCAATAATAATATTAAAAAATTGCAATATAAGCACTGGTAAAAAATGATATTAAAACATTAGGTTTACAAGTCCCAGAAATTTATACATTGATGTCCTCAAGAACACATGGTCCAATGGATAAAGACGTTGGTTAGATCCAGTGACTAGACCCAAAGAGTTGTGAGTTCGTAGAGAGTTAAGTTAAAGGGAAATAACTAAGACACCTGGAAGAGGCATGGCATGTGGAACTAGAACAATCTAGCCACCCCCCCCCCATGGCACATTGAGGATAAGGGTCTGAATAATGTAAATAAAACTAAGCACATCCTCCTCCAGCATTACCATGCAGATAATACCAGCAGTTCTTTCATGCAATAATTAGTCTACTTAGTTATCAATGTCATCATATTAAAAGAAGAAATTAAATTCTTGGTTATGAGATAAAGCCACCACCACCAATATATATATATATATGTATATATATATATATATATAATCATACATAAAATCAATCAGCAATATTAATGCGATTAATGGCAAAATCACTTCGCTAGTAGAAACATAATGTATGCATTAAAATATTGTTAATCCATTGAATGATGTGATCCTCATTTATAAAACTGTTGTCAGATGTTTCTAGTGTATATTTTTTAAGTTAAGCAAGTACTTTCGAAGAATCATTCCTTCATCATCAGGCTGTTTAATTTTTTCTTTAAAGTTAAAACTTGAAGACGAAATAATTGTTTGTAGACTGAAAGATGTTTTTTAAGAATGTGCTATTTATTGACGGTTATACAATCTCAGAACGTGCAAGTCGCAATTTCAAGTGAGAATTTTTATATGAATTTTGTAATATGGTAAATCCACGAATTCAGTTTTTCAGTTAACATGACATGAACTAAGTATATATATTTACCATATTACTGAAGGGACATCAAAGAAAGAAGAGTGAGATATATATATATATATATATATATATATATATATATAGTTTTAAAGTTTGCTATAGTTATGGGATAAAGTGCTCAATATCAGAGATAGAGCGTATGTAAATATAAAAGTGATCATTGAAGTCAACACTCAAAAGCAACAGACTGTTTCATGCTAAACGCAATCATCAGGTCACATGTTATGTTTTTTCTCGATTTTTATATATATATATATATATATATGGGTCAGTGGTGCATTGTGGGTAGTCTATTTTAATGGTTATTTTGGTGGGAGTGGCTTGTTAATGTGTTTATTATTTACTTGGATTTATTTTTTCGTGTTTTTGCTTATTTATTTTTATTTATTCTTTTCAGTTTTTGCTTTTCAAGTAACATAGTAAAAAATTGTTTTCATGTCTGCATTTTGAGATGAGTTCTGATAGTTCAGTTAGTAGTTTGTTTTTGTTTGGGAAGGTAATTGTAGCATTTTTTTTCCTTGAAGCAGAGTTTGCAGTTTTTGGATTGATTGTTGTAGGCTGATATTCTTTTCTTTATTTTCCATGATATTTTTGGGTGTGATTTGGTTTTTGTTTTTAAATTCCCAGATATACTTGGAAAGCATTGTGCTGTTTGTTTATTTACTATTTGTGAAAAATGTTTTGTGTGCGTAGTTTCTTTGTTTCCAGGGGCCTTCAGTTACTCCTGTGTATATTTATTCTTTTTATCTGGTGATTTTACTGTAGCTTGGTATATTACATTGTTTTGTAAGTAATTGCCATTTAAGGGACATTCATTCTTTATTCTGCAGTTACATATGGGTTTAATTTGTTCAGATGGTTTGTTAATAGATTTCCTGTCGTGCTTTTTTATTATTTGTGTCATGTTCTCAATGAAACTGTAGCTGATTTTTACTGTGTTTTTGTTGAATATTTTGTGAAAACTGCTTAATTCAGGGAAGTGTTTGTGTAAGAGTTTCATGAATATCTTTCCTATGTTTGTTTTTACATTTTTGTTTTACGGTGGATTGAACCATATAATGTTTCTCTTCCTGTTGGCTTTTTTGTCCTCTGTGGTGTGTGAGTTTTTGCCAAGAATCCACTATAATCCACAGGTCTGTTCCATAGTCTACCTTAGCTTTATTAAATATGGTTTAATTGGAAGAATTGTCAGAAAGGGTAATTGATTTTGGTATCTGCTTGATTATAGATGGTGGGTGATTGGAAAATATGTTTATATACAGTGGTTTATTATTGGTTTTTCTGTGTGGTTTATATGTACCTTTTCTTAGGTTGAAGGTGACATCTAGAAAATCTACTTCGTTTAGGTTAGTCATTTTGTCTCTGTCAAATCCCATATTTTTGAAAATCTTTATTATTGCTTTTCTAGTTTTGTTTGTTATAGTTTAAGATTATAAGACTGTCATCCCTGTAGAGTCCTGTATCATTTCTATCTATTATTTTACTTAGTCCATGTAGTATATATATATATATATATACCTATGAGTTCACAGGTTTAACCACCGTCAAAGCTTCCCATTGTAGTGTCAAAGAGCCATTCTTTCTTTATCCATGCATCTTCATTGCTGAATAGTAGTGATTTACAGGAAGGTTTAATGATATTGATTTTGTTTGTGTTTATTGTGTGTGTATATATATATATATATATATATATATATATATATATATATATATATATATATATATATATATATATATAGGATTAATGTGAGTAAAGGTTTGTCACTTAGCTGATTGATATTACCTTCAGCATACTGACTGTAGAGTTTCATAGGCAGCTCTGCCCATCCACTCTTCATGGAGGATCAGCAATTTACAGTTTATATTTTTTGTTTTTTTTTCCTCTTAAGCTCCTTTCAATATATATTTATATATATATATGTGTGTGTGTGTCTGTGTGTGCGCGTAAATATTCTCAGAATGAGTATATCTGTAGAAGAGTCAAAATGAATGAAAAGACAAGAGGAAAACTATACTTAGTTTAGCCAATGTATTTCATTATTTGCTTTGTTAAAGTCTGTCAAATGATGAAATGTTGCCTAGTTTTCCTTTTGTCTTTTCACACACACACACACATTCATATATTTCAGAGTAGCATGAATCTATCCAGCCTCTATCTTAAAAAAACAATGAGGCCGTTTGACCAACATTAATGATAAAAAAAAGCAAATGAAAACTACAGATAATGTTCATTTTTTTTCAGAAAGTCATGCATTCCTGTAGTTCACTGCTACTAACAAGCAGAAATTTTTTTTCTTCTGATGATGGCTATTGCTGGTCGAAACTAGTCAAGGAATCTAATAAAAATAATAAAACAAAAAATATTAATATACAACCCAGTGTGTCTGAAAATTTTAATTTTTTAATTTCTCAAAATATATATATATATATAAAATGTCATTCGCAGACAGTACTGTTTTTCTGTATCACAGCTCCTCACTGTGACCTGACCTGACATCCAAATGCCTCAAGCCAGGATCGAAACCCAACCAATTTGGTGTCAGTCAGAGCTTCTACCACTGAGCTATCTTCACTTGACAGAGTTACACAGCTAAATCTAGCGTATTGTTTTTACAAATGTAAACAAATGCCAATCAGCTGAAGTACTCCATTCATTTTTTTTTTTTCATTCCCCCAAAAACATATATTAGCTAAGCAACCTTGTTTTGTTTAACTTGTGTGTTCATTTCTGCTGTTAAACTTTTTCTGGTGATAATGACTTTTCTTTCTTGTGTACAAGTTTCTTAAAAAATCCCTGAAATGAAATGTTGAATATTATCTACAATCCTAAACTTTCAAAAGTTTTTATATATTTCTTCTTCCGTCTTTCCATTTTTTTTTTTTTTTATAAACTAAAGGAAACGATTCGATTATCTGAGTAATGTACGGAAAATGACATGTAATGATTGGACAGAAGACGATGACGAAGAAGAAATGGAGAACAAAAATGAAGAGGAAGAAATGGAATGTAAAATATTCTTCAAGAAGCCAGGAAAATTCTATCGAAATCAGGTAGGTGCAATTTTTTTTTTTATTTCTTTTTTTATTTCTTTTTTTAAACAGAATGCAAAGTTTGTTTGGAATATGTTAATCTACATTAAAATGAGAGAGAACTTTCTTCAGCATGACAGCCTTCCCAAAAAAATGACCTTAAGCTTTACTAAAAAACCATTGCATTGGCGACCTTCCTTATGCCTAAAATGCAATGATATTTTTACTCATCCTCTTTTTCTCTTAGACAATAAGATGTGATACAAACATATCCCCCCCCACCCGCACTTGTGCATGTTCTCTTCAATGTTCAATTACCTTTCTCTCTGACTTCTACGCAAACTTCATACACACATTCTCTTGTTTAAATATTTTCTTCTTTTATTTTCTGTGTATACTTTTGTTAAGATATGCATTGTCGTTTTTTTTTTATATACCGTTTTGTGTTATTCGTTTATTAGTCGGATTTACATTCGAGTCCACAAATTAACGGGGGCGGGGATATACCAGGAGACCCGTGTTTTCTAACCAAACACAACTAGCATTCCTGCAACAGCGTCAATAAAAATAATCCTTCAATTCTGCACCGTCCAATGCTTATAAACAACAAAAAGACCCCTCATCATTACACACGACTGATATGTTGCAGGCACTACTTCTACCTTGCTACCAGTTCCACTAAACTCACTGAAGTTAAGCAATATTGAGCGTTGTTAGTAGCTAGATGGGTGACTGCTTGGGAATACTAGGTGCTGTAAGCTTGGATGTGCTGGTGGTGTAATGCACTTACGGCCATATCACGTTGAAATACCACCTCATATGATAGCTAAAGTTAAGCAATGTTGAGTCTGGATGGGTGACCACTATGGAATACCAGGTGCTCGCTGTAAGCTTGGATGAGCTGTGATTTAATGGATAACAGAATTGTTAATCAGAGAGCAACGTTACAATTCCCATTGGATTCATTATATTTACTTATTTGCAAATACTTTTGGGAAATGTATGAATCCACCTCCTCTCCTCCAGCTATGAGTTAATTAGTAAGACTTGTATACAGGGCTGTGGGGTCAGTCATGGAATTGGAAGCAATAAAGGGTCACTAGAGTCAGTAAAACTATACCGACGCCATTTTATTTTTTTGTAGTTATTTTCTATTTACAAAACTACATATGTAAAAAAAAAAATCTTACATTATAGAATTTTTTCCATCCTGTAAAATATTATATTTCAACTTCTGTTATAAAGTAGTGTTATTTTTGTTCTCTACTTATTTCTTAGTTGCAAAGATATATATATATATATATATATATATATATATATATATATATAATAAATAAAACATAGAATTTTTTATTTTTGTTATGTCTTTTACATTCTGTAAAAGATTATATTTCAACTTCTTTTATAAAGTAGTTTTATTTTGTTCTCTACTTATTTCTTAGTTCCAAAGATATACATATATGTAAAAAGTCTTACATTATAGCATTTTTATTTTTATTGTTATTTCTTCCATATCCTTTCAAAGATTTTGTTTTAATTCTATTAGAAAATATTTAAGAATGAATAGGTATGATATAAATATATATATATTTTTTTAGATGCAGCTAGACCTGATGAGAAGGTTGCAAATGAATAAAATTTGTCAACTACTACAATTTCATCTCATTGTTTATTTTCTTGGGTAACGATCCGGCCAACGAGTTATTTTCTTTGTATTATGCCACAAACATTCTAATTTATTCTTTTTACCTATTTTTGCCTATTGATGAAACAAAAATTTTGTGAAGCTCCCACATGTCAACTAAATAAAATAAACATAAAAATATGAAAAATATATTTTCTTGCATACAATTTTTTTTTGTGTGTGTGTGTGTATATATATATATATATATATATATATATATATATATATATATATATATATATATATATATATATATAATATTAGTGTTAAATATACACATACATATGTACAATCATATATCTAATATATATAAATTCCAATGGAATAAATTATGACCATGGAATATTAGTGTTTAAGCCTTATTATTTTATATATAGTGCGATGGATAAATTGTCAAAATTATACCAAAAAAAAAATTAAAATAACTCTAACATCTCATTTTAACAGATATTTACCAAAATTACACAAAAATATCTAGAAAGACTACAGGGTAAATTTTTTCAATAAAAACCCCATTGGTTTCAACTATGGCCTCCAGGCGACTTCGGAATCTCCTGCAACACTTCAGTTTCTTCTTGTTTAAGTTGGTGAATGCTGCCATAATCCTTGCCTTCAGTTCATCTTTTGTGTTACAAGAAGTTTTGTCAGTCTCTCACTAAACTGTGCCCCACACATAATAATTAATTTTTTTACAGTCTGGAGGAGTTAGGTGGCCAGATGTAAAGGTTGATCTGGCCGTAGGAATACTCTGAAAGTTTCTAATTTGAGTTTCCCACATTAATGTCAAGCAGTACAACATGCAGTTTTCAAATTTCTGACTGAATTGCATCATGGTGCTCTTTTTCTCACAGACGGTGCCCAACTGACGCTAATATGGTGTGCAGTCGACAAAATCAGAATCAAACAATGTTGCACGCACAAAATTAAAAATATAATATAGCGATAATTTACTCATCGCGCCCTGTATATAATAAAAATAAGGATTTTCATAGCCAAATAAAAAGCAAGACTGTGAAACGCTTCGAAAAAGTTACCTCCCTTTGACAAAAGCTTTATTCTCTTGAAGTGATGTCATAGCAAATTAGAAATCTTATCACTTTTTTTTTTTTTTTTTTTTTAAATAAAATCGTATTTTAAGCTTCAGTTTAATTTAAAACAGTTTTTCAACCCCAGCGTCATTACAAAAAAAAAATTGTGTTGCAATAAAATTTACTTGTTGAATTATTTCTATTTAATATTGAAGAAATAAGTACTGGAGAAATAGTATGGACATACACACACACACACACACACACACACACACACACACACACACATATCTTCTTTTATGTACCGTGTCTCTTCAGGACGTAGGCGATCATGGCCCTCCACATCTTCCTGTCCCTTGTAGCTCTTGATAAGTATTGTCTTTTTGTTATTTCTCCGAAACCCATTTACTCAAGCCCATCAAATATGTTACGCACTGCTTTCACCTGTCCTTCTTTCCCTTTATCTGTCCTGTGAGTATCAGATTTTCCAAGCCCTCCTTCCTCATTAATTTCAACTGCCTCTTTCTGATGTTAAGTATAAGTTTCCTCTTTGTTTTCATTCTTTCCAAAACCTCATTGATGCTCACATGTTCGGCTCATGGTATCCTTAGCATCTTTCTGTAGGACAACATTTCTGTTGCTTCCAGTCTGTTCTTTGAGGAGATTGTCCAACATTTGCTGCCATGCAGGAGGACCTGTAATTTGAACTTTGGGCTCGTCTTTTTGCTGATGACCATGCATTCTGTCTTCTTGTAATTTACACTTAGTCCTTTCTTCTTGCTCTCCTTCGTTACCTTCTACATGAACTTTTGCAGTTTCCTTTCTGCTATCAACAGAAAGGAAACTGCAAAACCTGCATATCTCATCACCTGTGTATCTCGTATTATTAAGATTGTAGCCTCCAATGACGAATTCTGGTAGGATTTCTAATTTTCTCAGAATTACCTCACTGTATAAGTGAATAAATCCAGTGAGAAGACACATCCTTGTCTTACACCCCTTTCTATTTTTGTATATCTGATGAATTCATTTTCTGAACGTATGCAGGCAGTTTGCTGCCAGTATAGATTCTTGATTATTCTAATGTTTTCCCAAATATGTCAAGGTTGCTGAGGAGTTCTAACAGATCTTTATGGTGCACTTTGTCAAACGCTTTTGCATAGTCTATAAAATACAGGTGCACATTCTGCATTTGTATTGCTCTTTCTGATAACATTCTGAGCATAAATATTGCATTCCTTGTTCCTGTGTGTTTGATTAACTTGCACTGTTCTTTCCTTATCTCTGGCCTGATTCTGCTTCATGCTCTATTCATCAGAATTTGAATGCTGTGTTTTGTTACGTGCCTCATTAGGCTGATTGTCCGATGGAGTTCACATTCGTTTGTGCCTGGTTTCTTAGGCAGTGCTATGAAAATAGATCTACTTAGGTCTTCCGTTATATCCCCACTGTTGTAGATTTCATTTATTATTTCTGTGATCTTGTCTCTGCCAAATTCATCTAAGGCTGCCAGCATCTCTATTACAATTCTGTCTGGCCCTGCCACTTTGTTTCTGTTCAATTTGGCCAGTGCAGCTTCCACTTCAGTTTCTAATATTTCTGGTCCGTCAGTATTTCTGTGTATTGCCGATATAATGACAATAAGTAAAAATAATTTAGTAATGTCTAATTTTTGTACTCAAAAATAAAAAAAACAATGAATCAAAAGGACAGTTTTTCCCTTGACACCACTATTATTTTAACTACCTTTACTCCTCGACAATGTTTATTGTTTTAAAACGCTATGATTAAGTTTTTAATAAAACCTAAACATATGAAAGTGAATTTATATATTTTCTTTGTTCTTCAGAATTGGCAACAACAATTTTTAAACTCTATTTATTTCATTGTTTATTGGAATGGATGGCAAAACATTGGCTAATTGCCAGTCAATTCAAACTTTATGAAATGGTAAATGATAAGGATTTCATCAAATGTAAGGGGAGGGGGTTAAAATATAATTACCGTATTTCTCGTCTTAGAAGACACGCTAATATTGGAAAGAAGCGCGACATATTGTTTACATTAATCATTCGTTCGATTTTGTTTGTATGGCAATGACATGCTAAAGGTTTATAGTCTTGGAAATACATGTAACAGCTAAGTACTGAGTTTACATCATATAAAAGGCTGAATTAAATAGACAGCTAAAATTATAACATAATGACTCAACATATAAATCCACATCCCTATCAGTCAAGCCAAATAAGTGACCGGCCAATCTTACTTGAACCTGGATGTTGCCTTACATTCATCTTGGAAGATGCACATGTATTTTTTAGGAAAAAAAGTGCATCTTGTAAGCTGAAAATACAGTATATGTCAAGAGGAACACTGTAGAGATATTACACTTTTTTGAATTTTAAATTTCTAGCAGTTGACCTGTCTAGACGTGCAGTTCGGCCATCTTTTATTCAGCTCCTTAATGTATTTTGTTTTATATCAATGTTGTTTTTAAATATCCCCCATTGTGGTCTCAGTAGATTTGTTAAGAAAGGAGTAAGCATGAAAAAGTCCATCCTTTTCAAAAGGTCAGTTATACTAAAAAAAAAAATTTGAATATTTATTCAAAAATGGATTCACCTATGGTAAATGGTTAGCTAACAGATTTTTAAAGTATGATGATTTTCTAAGTGCAGCTTATATGTGGCACAAGGCCCAAAGTATGAGGCATCCAGTGAGGATCTAACTCACTATTCTGTTGTAGTTGATCTAATGAGAAAAACTTGCTAACCATTACACCACATCAACGTGCTCACTATTTGATTTAATAAACATAGCTTAGATTTGGCACAAGGCCATAAGTATGGAGCACTCAGTAAGGACAAAGTCACTATTTAATCATAATTGATCAAGTAAGACAAGCTTGTTAACCACTACACCTCATAGAAGTGCCCAAATATTATGGTGATTTTGTAAGTATAGTTTAGATGTAGATGCACAATGCCACAAGTATGGGGCACCTAGTGAGTATCATAATCACTGCTCAGACATAATTGTTCTCGTAAGTAAAGCTTGCTCTTGATCTTTAAAGTATGAATTAATTTTTTGATTAGATTTTTTTTTGTTTTCTTGTTTGCAGCTGATGCTTTCTGAATGGTTGGTTGAAGTTCCTGCAGATCTTGAAGAAGAATGGCTACTTGTCGTCTGCCCAGTTGGGAAACGTTGTCTTGTCGTTAGTTCTCGAGTAAGTACTTTCCTACTAATTTTCTTGAAATATTTTTTCCCCACTACAACATAATTTTATTTTCCTGGGTATGACAATAAACTACATCTGGCAGCAAGGTCTCTGATGGGGAGATTTTAAGGAACATGGAACCGCCTCTTTATCTGCTGCTGTCACCACGTCCACCTTGACCCAGAATGGTAGCAGCAATTAAGATCCCAGCTATGGGTAAATAGTGAAGCCTTAAACAAAAATCAGCACAACATTTTTATAGCAAAATGACAATCAGTGCAATTCTAAAAAGTATACATTTTTAAAAAAAAAAAAAAAAATTACCAACAATTTTTTGTAGTGAAATTACCAGCAACACATTTAAAAAATAGATAGCATTCTGAGTAAGACGATAAACTTTGTCCACGTCCTGGGTAAGATGATAAGCTATGTCTGCATCCTGGGTGTGACGATATACTACATCCGTGTGCTGGGTGCGGCGATATACTACATCCGTGTGCTGGATGCAACGATATGCTACATCCGTGTGCTGGATGCGACGATATACTACGTCCGTGTCCTGGGTGAGACGATGAACTTTGTCCGTGTCCTGGGTGAGACGATGAACTTTGTCCGTGTCCTGGGTGAGACGATGAACTTTGTCCGTGTCCTGGGTGAGACGATGAACTTTGTCCGTGTCCTGGGTGAGACGATGTCCGTGTCCTGGGTGAGACGATGAACTTTGTCCGTGTCCTGGGTGAGACGATGAACTTTGTCCGTGTCCTGGGTGAGACGATGAACTTTGTCCGTGTCCTGGGTGAGGCAATAAACTTTGTCTGCATCCTGGGTGAGACAATACACTACATCCGCGTCCTGGGTGCGACGATAAACTTTGTCCACATCCTGGGTGAGGCAATAAACTTTGTCTGCATTCTGGGTGAGGCGATAAACTTTGTCCATGTCCTGAGTGAGGCGATAAACTACATCCGCTTCCTGGGTAAGACAATAAGCTACATCCAACAGCAAGGCCTCTGATCAAGAGGTTTTGAGGAGCGTGGAACCACCTCTTAATTGCTGGTGTTCCCAAGTCCACGCTGACCTGTTGTAGTAGCTTAAGGTCCCAGCTATGGGCAAATTGTTAACCCATGGCGATGTTGATATGCCGCTAAACATAATCTACCACCACATAATTTCAATGCAGATATACAAACCTAAAATGACTTGTCTATCTGACGTAATTACTACTTAATTCTTAACAAATCTTGTAATTTTTCTTTTTAATTGATTTTGCCTCAATCAAGCCAGTAGAGCCACTGAGACACAAGGAGTTACTGGGTTAAGATTTAGAAACTGAAATGTTGTTAAGTAGTGATAACAAAAGAGTAATCAGGATGACAAAAGATAGCGTTTGATATTGAATTTAAATTTTTGCCGATTAAAGTTACCTGGAAAACAGAGCTGGAATGGAGTTCCACAAGCAAGAAATACAAAAAAAAAAAAAAGAAACTTAGCAAAGAATTTACATTTAGCTAGTTACATCTAGCCAACTTAACTGTAAATTGACGAGACCTCATCACCAGTCTAGTACTCTGCTTAAATTCAAAGAGCCTAGGCAATGCTGTGAAAAGCTCATCTGAATAATTACCATGGGAGTATTTATAGAAAAGGCACAGGAAGGCAACCTTATTGTGATGGGATAGAGGTGAGATGCCAGAACAGGGCTAATAATATTGCTGATTCTTCTTTGGATTTTATCAAGGAGCTCAAGTTTCCTCCTTGAGCCTATGTTGTTTCTTATCTCTAATGACCTTCCTGATGTCATCAGTTCCCAACTAGATATTTATGATGAAGACATGTCTATCTCCAATCTGTTGTTAACTTGGGCAAGAAATGGCTTGTAAATTTTAATGCCTCCAATGGTGAAACTTTCATCTTTTAATCATCAGAGAGAACCATTTTTGTCTTCTTTCAGCATGGCTGATGCTAAACTCCAATAAAGCAACTCCTTGAACCTTCTTGGTCTCGGATTTTCTAGTGACATGTTGAAGTGGAGTGTTTATATTGAGCCAATTATTCAATCTGCTGCTAGGAAACTTTGTTCACTGTGCCATATCAGACAGTTTTTCTTGTCCAAGTCTATCTTGCACATTTATAAATCTAGTATTCGCCCATGCATTGCATATTGCTACTATATCTGGTCTGTTGCTCTTGCTATATATCTTGAGATTCTTAAAAAAATATTCAAAGAAGGGTCTGTAATATAATAAGTCCTGACGTGGCATCTCGACTTAAGTCACTTTCCCACTACTATGATGTCGCTTCCCTCTGTCTTTTTTATAAATATTTTCATGGCAATTCTTCTAACGAGCTCTTATCCTTAGTAACTCAATTGCACAAATTGGAACATACTACTAGATTGGCAACTAGGTCTCACTGTTTAACCCTTACCACGCTAATTTCTTTCAAGAATTGTTCTCCCTGTCACTATATATATATATATATATATATTTTTTTTTTTTAGGATGCAAAGACATGAACACCTACTGTTTTAAAATTGTTATACCTTTCTTTGTATTGTGTGTATAGATTTTAATTTTTGTACACTAATAAAAGAATGAATGAGTAATATTCTGATGTAATGCATTATATTTTGCATGCATGTTTTGACGTTTAAAATAAAAAAAAAAAAATTAAAACAAAATAAAAAAAACGTGAAATAAAAAACAAATGCATTAAAAAATACATAAATAATTCAACACACTTTAACTTTTATTACTCCTTCCGGAGTTCTGGGGGTGCAATAAGAAGCAAAATCACTAAGAAGGCTTTCATTTCATCAAAAAAAGTGATGTTTTTTCTCATGTTTACATATGAGAAGACACTAGCATTTGTTTGATCTTTCCTTCACCTGACTCATATTTATCTTGTTGATAAATAAAATTATTATTTCGTCATTTATAAACAGACCAAGTAATTCACCTTCAGAAAGGCTATCAGGTATTTTAATGGTCGCCAATAGCTTCCATAAAATTAGTCAGGCATGGATGATCACTTTCCTCCACATCACTAATGTGGTTATCATCTTCGACCACTTCACCATCAATATCCACTTGAGTAAAACCTTCAAAATCATCATCGGAGTCCTAATCAAAGAAAAATTCCTGAATAAAGGCTTTGTTGGATATTGATGTGGCCATTTTTGTTTACAAAAAATCGTGAAAAATTAATGTTGGTTTAATCAATGATACACCTCATGTAAAATCTAGAAGAATTCAAAATGTCATTGGAAAACAGAAGTTTACCCTTGTTCCAAAGCAGTAGTAGGCGATTTCCAGCTTAAAATACCAGAAATAATAGTTGACAAGTGTTTATTTATAGCAACCATCTCAAGGTGACAGAATGCACCTAGAGTAACAAGGGAGATAATTCTATAGCAACTATTGTTGCCAGCAGTGTGGTAAAGGTTAAATAAGTTCAATGTAACCATAACTTTCTTTTCTTGCATTTTGCACACACGGAACTCTTTTCTAGTTTATTTCTTCCCTGTCATGTGCAATCTTCAAATATTTAGATGCCACATTGAATCACCATAATCTGTCTTAACGAAACCTTTTCTTTTATTGTACTTTCTCTTCATTAAAGTTTTCTCATTCTCTTTCATTCTCGGTGACCATTTTGCATCTTAGTGGTGAAATGACAAAAAATTTTTTTAAAATAGGTATAGCTGTGACCACATACACCTGTACTAGAATTGTTCTCCCAAAAAGTGCACTTACCTGACGTGACTTTGTTATAGTTGTGAGTGGTGCCTTCTATAGCATATCTGTCATGCATAGCACTCTTCATCCGCTGGTTCAATCGTTGAGATCTGTTGTATTCAACAGCTGCTAGTTCAACCATTGTTTTGGGGGGTTGGTTGCACTTAGTCTGGGTTCTCATCTTCAACCTTGCCACCAAGGGTTGCCCTCCCAAGATTTTAGAACTCCTGACAGCATCGCTCTCAGTCATTAGACCACACAAGCCTTCCACCATGAAAAGGAGTGACTATCAGAGGATACTCAAGTATATACAGTATTTAATCCATACTTATGGGGAGAAGAGATGGATACATGGTTTTCCTACTGGCATTTGTGTGAAAGTGAATGTAATGAACTTGACTGGTATTTGAACTCAGCTTGCTGAATTCTTGTTCTGAGTTGCCATAG